TCACCTTCTCCACCAGACTCCATCAGGCTGCACAGGGGCAGAGTTGGGGGTGGACGTCACCATCAACTGTACCCACTAAAAGACATGGACAGAAGTCCCCAAAATGGGTTGTTTGGGAAGGGGCAATGAGGACAGAGACAAGGATCCACTGCATGCTAAGACAGTCCAGCTAGCAAAGGGACCCATCAAGGCCCATTCAGATCTGCTGCAGCAAGTATTGTCAGAATTTCTGCCCCCTCTGAAATTCCATCATGGCCTTTGTAAGCAACAGGATTCTAGATTTAGCCACGCTACACTTGGCCGGAAGTTTGCGTTTCACCCTAGTTCCTGCTATGGTGCTAAAACACCATGTAGGATTTAGGTGCCTCCCCTTCCCATCTCCATTATATGTAATATGCAGGTCCTCCTGGTGGGTGCTGGTTAGGGGATCAAAGAACCCTCAGCAGGATGCCATATCAATGGCCCCTAAATGTAATCCCAAAATGCAATGCCATGGAAGTTCCAATCAATGGCATTGTGAGTAAAAAAAAAAAAGTGGGGAGAGGAAAGTTGCCAAGTATTATGGTTGCTGCCATGCTTTTTTAAAACTACTACTTTATATTTAAGCTCTTCTATAGCTTTTGTTTCATGTTTGCATCAAAGCAAGTGTGGATTTTGAAAGGGCTATACAACTGCTCTGGGCTGTAGCAGGTGGAGTGAGAGGAACTGCTGAGTAAATTGTTCTTCCTTTGGGAGCACTAGGCCATTCTTAATAAAGGGGAAGAAAAATAGTATCTATCCCTCTTTGCCCCCCACCCCAGCTGTGCTTAATGCTGAAGAGCCTGATTGTTGTTGCAACAGAAGTTTTGCTGCCCTGCTACTGTTTCCTGCCCCTGTTTTGACAGCCTTCCCCGGGGAGTTTTGCAGGGCTGTCAGACTAGGCTCCTTGACAGCTGAATATATTGGCCTGCACAGACTGCCTGAGACAGGGGTGGCCAATGTGGTGCCCTCCAGATGTGGTACTCTAACTCCCATCAGCCTCAGCCAGCATGACCCGCAGTCAGAAATGTTGGGAGCTGTAGTCTGACAACATCTGGACTCTAGAAGGGAACAGGTTAGACATCCCTGGTGTGTGGAGTGGAAATTGCTACTGTTCACTTATTCATCCTATGTCTGGAATGAATATGATCAGTATTCCCTGCTGTTGCTTTCAATCTGCAAATTAATTATTGCCCCCCTCGTTTGCATTGTCCTACCCTTGCATTGAAATGAATGGGGTAGAATAATATAATGACAGTGTAAATTATGTAATTGTGCCACAGAGGACAGTGAGACTAATAACATAAGTTTTGGCAGAAAGTGAAATGCAGTAGAACAGAAGTGATGCTGCATACAATGATTACAGGGCAGAATGGGGAAAGATGCTGTCTTGCATCTCTGACTGCACAACATAGGCTGGATGGAGCCAAGTACATTATCATATCATTATCATATTTATTTATATCTTGTATTTTCTCCGGCCAGGATTCAAATTACACAAATTTTAAAAACACAGATAAAATACAAAAAGTTAAAAACATGTAAAAGATAACTGTTAAAAACTAATTAAACTCTAATAGAATTAAAACAATATAATCAAACAAATCTATTGAAATACAGATAATAAAAGCAGCACAGCACTATTAAAGCCCTTTCCTTAAAAAAACCCAGTCCATTTCAGAACAAAGTCTTCATCTGCCAGCGGAAGGACAGCAGTGAGGGAGCCAGCCTAGATTCTCTAGGAAAGGAATTCCAAAGTCTGGGAGCAGCCACCAAGAAGGCCCTCCCCCATGTCCCCATAAAGCTGGCCTGTGAGAGTGGTGGAACCAAGAGATGGGCCTCCCCTGAAGATCTCAGAGCCTGGGCAGGTTTGTGTGGGAAGATAATCTTTCAGAGAGCTTAGACCAAAGCTGTATAGGGCTTTATAGGTCATAACCAGCACTTAGAATTGTGCTCAAAAAGAGACCAGTAGTCAGTTACTCAGACAAAAAGAGAGAAAACATTGCTTTGTTGAACAGTCATATTGTTCCAAAGCTTATTGGTGCCCTCTGTGTTTACCTAGCCTTCACTGTCCTCTGCCTCAGGTGGCCAGTTGACTTTTGCAATCCATGTGAGATCCTCCATCCCAGCAACATTTGTAACGTTTTCATCGCAAACACAGCATCATGACACCAATGCTGCTTTAAGTCTGGGTTTGCTGGCTTTCCTCTTCCCTCACTGGTAATTTTTCATTTTCTGTTGTGCCTTCTAGAATTTGATCCCTGGAACAGGGACTGTCTTGTTTTGTAATCTCTAAATGGTGCTAAGCCAGATGAGTGCCAGGACTCTGCGTCTTCCCTCACCCCACTGCCTGTCCTTCTTAGCATACCAGCTGTGGTACACTGATCCTTTTTAACTCAAACTGGGAAACCATGGCTTATTGCCACTTTAGTAACCAGGATCTTAAACCATGGCATGCATGCATTCACATACACACACACCCCTCCTGATATCAAATATTGAGGAGGTGTTACAACAAAATATGCAAGTGCAGCAAAACATAAAATACTGTCAGTACAATACAGAATCATTGTAAGAATGACTGGCTCAACACAAAACACAACTTGCAGTTTGAAGCAAAGGACAAAATGGCACCCTTCCACTCCAATTCCATGTACTAAAGCCAGCCAGGCTGGCAGGGTGAATCTTACTTCAACACTAGCTATAGAAGAACATATTCCACTACACCTGAGAACAGCAAGCTGCTGGTGCAGGCCACGTGTGTGGTACACACAACTCTGCTCTCTAGCACTTGACCATCAGTTACCCCTCACTCCAGTCTGCTGCCTGAGGCAGTTGCCTCATTTTGTCTAATAGCAGGGTCAACTCTGTTCCAGGTGTAAAGCCTTAGTGTTCTGATTTAGTATGGCATGCACATTTGTCAGTGATAGCCGTGCAAGCTACTTCGGTGAATTTCAATGAACCACAAAGCTACCCATTCTACTTTTTGGCCACTTCCGAATCATACATTTAAAACACTTTGATACTGCTTTAAAAGCAATGGCTTCCCTGCTCACAAAGAATCCTGAGAACTGTAGTTGGTTAAGGATGCTAAGAGCTGTTTGGAGATCTCTGTCCACATCACAGAGCTACAATTCCCAGCGTTCTCTGTGAAGAGGGATTGATTCTTAAACCACTCAGAGGGGTGGTTTAGTGTAGCTCTGTGAGGGGAATAGGGGTGTCTATTTTTCTAGAAAAAGAGGTGAGGGAACTCACTATGAACACCTCCCTCGTTCTCTTAGAATGGCAATGGCGCCCACCTGAGAGGTGCTCAAATTGAGTTTCAGCAAGTTCTGGGTCAAAAAAAAGCCCTGGTCCTGACAACTCTCAGCACCCTTTAAAAAAGCTAAACTTCCCATGATTCTCTGAGGGAAGCCACAACTGTTTATAAAGTGGTATCATATTGCGTTAAATGTATGTTTCAGATGTGACCTTTGTTTTGTTTTTCCACTACAGATTGGTGTGGCTTCATTTTGCCTGCCAATCTCTGCTGATTTAAGCTCACATCTGCCCCTCTCTCCTCTTCACTCCCCCCCCCCAAAAAAAACTTCTGACCCATCATGAATGCTTCTTCAGCTCTTCCATGTAAGTGTACCTCCTTGACCTACACTGGACATAAATTGTGTGAGCCCCGCCCTGCCTGCCTTCCTGCAGAATTCCTCCGACCTGCCGAGCCAGACAGCCTGTCTGCGGGACCCACAAAAAAACCCTTTTCCGTCTCCTCGGACTTCCCTGACAGCCGATAAGCTGTGAACATTCTGCAGTGCCTGTCTGTCTCTGGGTGCGATGTGTGTTGCAGCTCATAGCAGTTTTCTTCCCTTGAAGAAGCTGTGGGTGGCTTGAAGGGTGTTTGAATGGGAGGCAGTGAGCTGCCCTTGCAGCACAGACATTTTGTACCGCAGGGGAAATCATTTCTCTAGGAGCTCAGGATGCCAGATATGCTTCCATCTAGGGTGGTCCCATGTGACTGCTGAGTCAACATTTGACATTATCCGAAAGCTTGTGGACGTCTTGCAAGATAATTGTATGGACCTTTGTTCATTCATCCACTTAAGCCAGCCTCCACCAACTTGGAATCCTCCAGGTGTTTTGGATGGGAACATCTGGAGGGCACCAGGTTGGTGAAAGCTGGATTGAAGAAACATTGCCTTGGGAAGCTAAAATGCACTGCCAACTCTGGATGGAGCAAGCTTGTTTTCTGCTGCTCCAAAGGAAAGGACCCGAACCAATGGATTCAAATTACGAGGAAGGAAATTCCAGCTAAATGCTAGGAAGAACTTTCTGATGGCAAGAGCCTTTTGAATGCCTCAGAAAGTGGTAGACTCTCATTTGTTGGAGGTTTTTAGGCAGAGGTTGGATGGCCACCTATCAGAGATTCTTTAACTGTGATTCCTCCATTGCAGGAGGTTGGAATAGATGATCCTCAGGGTCCCTTCCAACTCTACAGTTCTATGATTCTTGTATTCATCTGCCTGATGATGGTACCCATGGATTCATCTCTTTCTTTTCTGCTGTGTAAGTGAATGGCTGCTGATAGTTGATGGCCTGCTTCTGTATTTGATTCAAGTTAGTGGCTATTGCCTTTTAAGCCCCTATCAGTGGCTTGGAGAACAGGATTTGGGCGACACCACCGTAACCTGCATAATTCTGCCCATTCACTAAGGTCAGCAGGGAAGACCCTAACCCTTTGTGAGGTGGGTGGATGTGATCACAGGGGCCTCCACCATTGCAGTACTTGCTCTTTGGAACTCCCTGCTCCCTGCTCTGGTGGTATTCTGCTGACATCTGGAAACATCTTTGCTCAGCAGGCATTTGACCTAGGTGTTGGGTTGACTTTACTGCCTGTCTCTCTCTCTTTTGGTATCTGTTCCCTCTGGTTCTGACTGTTTTAACCAACCTGCTGCTTTTGTTTGCCTGTGGTTGATGTATCAATGTCTTTGTCCTGGGATACCTCAGTCAGTAAAGCATGAGGCTGTTAATCTCAGGATCGTGGGTTAGAGCCCCACACTGAGCAAAAGATTTCTGCATTGCAAGGGAGTGGACTTGATGACTCTCATGGTCCTTCCAACCGTATGTTTCTATTATTCTCTTTCCGTGTTGGCCATCTTGCTGCAGACCCACAGACCCATTTAAAGCACATTCAGTGCACATTTAAAAGACATGGCTTCCCCAGAGAATCCTGGGAATTGTAGTTCCCCCTCACAGAAATACCATTTCCAGCACCCTTAATAAACTACCATTCCCAGGATTCTGGGTGGGAAGCCACATGTTTTCAACCAATTCCAATCTCCGAGGATGTGGACAGGCTGCTTGGACGAGTGAAACCAACCACCTATCTCCTTGATCCTTGCCCATCTTGGCTTATAAAAGCTAGCCGGGAAGGGCTGGGCGATGGGCTTCGTGGGGTGGTGAATGCTTCTCTCTGTGAGGGAGCCTTCCCAAACCCGCTGAAAGAGATGGTTACCTGAGCTGCCTGTGGCAAAGGTGGATCTAGGAGCACCTTGAAACTCTCATGTTCAGTTGCCAATATCATAATGCTGTTATACAAATCTGTGGTGCGACCGCATTTGGAATGTTGTGTACAGTTTTGGTTGCCTAGCTGCAAAAAGGATACCTGTATTGTACAGCTGGAGATGGTTCGGAAAAGAGCAACCAAAATTATTAAAAGGATAGAGCAACTCCCCTATAAAGAAAGGATGCCGCGTTGGGGGGGGGGGTTAGCTTAGAGAAAAGGAGAGTAGGAGGTGACATGATGGAAGTTTAGAAAATCATGCTTAGCATAGAGAAAGTGACTAGGAAAACATCCAGTGAAGTGGAATGTTGGAAGATTCAATACAGATTAAAAAGTACATCTTCATGCAGCACATAGTTAAAACTATGCAACTCACTTCCACAGGAGGCCTTGATGGCCACTAACATGGATGGCTTTAATAAATTAATAATAATAATAATAATAATAATAATAATAATAATAATTGTTTACTTATATCCCGTCCTCTCCTGCCAAAGCCGGGCTCAGAGCGGCTAACAAGTAAAAATAGCACAGTGTACATAAAATTACACAGTCAATTAATTAAAAAAAAAACATTCTAAAATCAATTCAGAATCAAATTAATGGCAACCATTGGGCTAGAGTTCTATAAGGATTACAAAAGGAGAGAGGCGTCAGACTATGTCTTAGCCAAAGGCCTGGTGGAACAGCTCCGTCTTGAGGGCCTGCGGAAAGATGTCAAGTCCTGCAGGGCCCTAGTCTCTTGTGACAGAGTGTTCCACTAGATCGGGGCCACAGCTGTAAAAGCCCTGGCTCTGGTTGAGGCCAGCCTAACCTCCCTGTTGCCCGGGATCTCCAAGATGTTTTTATTTGAAGACCGTAAGGTCCCCCGTGGGACATGCCAGGAGAAGCGGTCCTGTAGGTACGAGGGTCCTAGGCTGTATAGGGTTTTAAAGGTTAAAACCAGCACCTTAAACCTGATCCTGTACTCCACCAGGAGCCAGTGCAGCTGGTATAGCACTGGGTGAATGTGATCCCGCAGCCAGGACCCCGTAAGGAGTCTCGCCGCGGCATTCTGCACCCGCTGGAGTTTCTGGGTCAGTCTCAAGGGCAGCCCCACGTAGAGTGAGTTACAATAATCAAGTCCGGAGGTGACCATCGTGTGGATCGCAGTGGCTAGGTCAGGGCGAGAGAGGTAAGGAGCCAACCGCTTAGCTTGGTGGAGATGAAAAAATGCTGCCTTTGTTATAGCTGCAGTCTGCGCTTCCATGGAAAGGGAGGTGTCGAAGATTACACCCAAACACTTAACGGACAAATTAGGCAAATTCATGGAGGATAAGGCTATCCATGGCTACTAGCCACAATGGCCATGCTCTGTAATGCTTCTGAATATAATAATATTAATAATAATAATAATAATAATAATAATAATAATAATAATAATATATTATTATTATTTATACCCCGCCCATCCGGCTGGGTTTCCCCAGCCACTCTGGGTGGCTTCCAACTGAATATTAAAGACAATACAGCATCAAACATTTAAAACTTCCCTAAACAGGGCCGCCTTCAGTTGTCTTTTGAAAATAAAATAGTTGTTTATTGCCTTGACATCTGCTGTGAGGGCGTTCCACAGGGCAGGCGCCACTACCAAGAAGGCCCTCTGCCTGGTTCCCTGTAACGTCACTTCTCTCAGCGAGGGAACTGCCAGAAGGCCCTCAGGGCTGGATCTTAGTGTCCGGGCTGGACGATTGGGGTGGAGACGCTCCTTCAGGTTTACAGAACGTGGTCTCGGTGGCCACTCCCAGTCACTAGTCTAGCTGCCACACACTGAATGCCAGTGGCTGGAAACCACAGTGAGGTTGTGTGAGTTTTGTACTTGGATCCTGCTTGTGGGCTTCCCACAAACATCTGGTCAGCCACTGTGAGTAGAGGTTGCTGGACTGGATGAGTCATTGGCCTGATCCAGCAGTCTGTTCTTATGTTCTGATGTTCTTAAATCTAAGCAGCGCTTTTCTGCCCAAGCTGCTCATTATTAAGACTCAGGTGGATAGATGAAAGATGAAAAAATCTTTTTTAATAATTCCAGTGGCACCTTAAAGATCAGCTAAATATAAGCTTTCAAGGTATGAGCTTTCGTGTGTAATACACACTTTGTCAGATACTCTTTGTCGTTATTAAGATTGTTGTCTTTGTTCTCTGAAAGCTCCAAAAACAGTCAAAAGTTGTCATTGAATAGGGTAGTCTTAAGAACAGCCAGCTCAAGCTTTTTTGCTTCTAGCTTCAAGAGAAGATTTCATCCTGGTCTCTGACTAGACAGTTGCAGGAAAATGGTTATTCAGATGGAGCCCAGCTATTATAAAAATGAACAATTCGAGTTTAATAATGGGTACCAATGTAGAGTGAGTCAGTGGTTTGGGTTCTTTGTCTTGTTTTTAATGTCACTATCAGATCCAAGGACAATGTGTTTGTGAGGAAAGAACTTGCACAATGAGGTCTGAATGGCTTTGTCCTTTTGCCAGCAAAGGATCTGCAAAAAAGCAGTGAGGCATTTAATGAAGTCTGGAATATGGGTTTGTGTGTCCTATGACCAAGGGTGGGGGAGGACTTTGTTCACATTTTAATGCGAACCCACCTAATTCATACTTCCTGAATTAGTATGTGAACAAAAAGTGCACCCATTATCCTTTAAAATCCAACCATTTCTGAATTTTGGGATGTAGTTTGCCAGCCTCAAAAAACACAAACCAAGATTAACAGAAAGTGTGTGCAAGAATGTGTATGTTGGTGAGAGCAATGTTCAAAAAAGCAAGTTACCTTAGAGGAAATTTGCTTGCAAAAACATGAATTTTGGGGAAACTTTCCTACAAAAATGTGTCTGTTAGGATAAGCCTACACAAAAATGCCTATGAATTTTGGCTAGGGCTTAAAACACTTTTTTAAAAACAAACTTAATTCTTTATTACGTAAAATTAATACACTTATTGATCCCAGAAAAAGCCTCAAAGTGGTCTAGAAAGAGAATAAAACAATAAAATTATTAGTAAAATACAGTTAAAAACAACTGTTTAAAAAGCATTCCCCCCCAAATAAGCTAAGCAATAAACTAAAAATGCACATCAATATTCTAGATACCTGGGCAGACCTGTCCAAACAAAAATGGTTTTTAGCAAGAGCCAAAAAGCGTATAGTGAAAGCACCTGCCTAATGTCAGGCAGGGAGTTCGCAAGTGTAGGTGCTGCCACACCAAAAGACTGTCGGTAACCTCCAGACTGCCCAAAATAACTTACTTATTTCTTTATTATTATTTTTATTGGGTTTTTGATAATTTTGTACATATAAAACATAACCATTTCAAACATTAAAATACAAGATTCTTTCAAACCTTCGGGCCTCCTTCCTTCCCTCCATGGGTTCCATGTTTAAGTTTAAATTTGTTGCATCTTTTACCATTATCCATCTATTATATAACCATAATTATTATAAATAATTCCACATCACAAGTGCCATTACATCCCATTGGGGAATGATGTAATGGCCAAAAATAACCTATGCAGAGAAGGGGTGAATTGAATTTAAGATTGGAAAAAAATGAAATGGGAAGAAACTGAAATAGATAGATTCTTCCATCCCCATCACTTCAGAGTGTAAGGATTACCGTATAAATTTACTGTAATGATGATGGGACTGAGGACAGAAATACATCTGTGATTAAGGAGTGTAGTTGTGAGGTCAGGGTGAGGGCCCTAGTACCAACCCCAACTTCCCCTTTCAACTGGTTTTGCCCCATTTTTTTATTAAAAAAACCCCAAGCTAAAATAAAATATAAAATAACCATCTTGCAAGAGCATCATGTTGACACTGTCCAAATACAGTGGTACTTCGGGTTACATACGCTTCAGGTTACATACGCTTCAGGTTACAGACTCCGCTAACCCAGAAATAGTGCTTCAGGTTAAGAACTTTGCTTCAGGATAAGAACAGAAATTGTGCTCTGGCGGCGCGGCGGCAGCAGTAGGCCCCATTAGCTAAAGTGGTGCTTCAGGTTAAGAACAGTTTCAGGTTAAGAACGGACCTCCGGAACGAATTAAGTACTTAACCCGAGGTACCACTGTATAACTTTGTCATCCAATGTTTTGACATAGTTTTTTGAGGGCCTGGAAGGTTTCCTTTGCTGTACTTGTTTTCTCATGACAACCCAAATCTTGAAAGAACCTTTTCATCATTTTTACAATTGCACATTGTTGCAGATAACAACAAAATTATCGGATGGACAATAGAACCCTTCTTTCAATTTTTATCAAATCTGAAAACACTCTTCTGGAGTGCATCTGGATTTGCTCTACAGGCTTCTGATGCAGAAAACATTCTGAGAGTGTGAAATTGCAAACGTGAGTTGATGTAGATACTCTCATCTTCCTTAGGCACTTTGCTCTTGGGGAAATTTTAATTTACTGGCCAATGGATGGACTTTAGGCTGACAAGGAGCTGCTTCTGGGTATTTTCCAAAACTAATTTGAATAGTA